GGTGTTTACGTGGGGATGTTTTGATTACAAAGAAAAAAGGAAAGAAAAATGTGAGGTGGCAGGATGCAATTATGTAAGTCCCGTTCTTGTTCTTTTTAATCAAAAAGATAAATTGGCACAATAACTGTATTTGTTCCTTTTGTGAGGGCTCCATCAATGGGGATACTAAAGGGCCTTTGTTGGGTGAGATTTTCATGTCTTTCTTTTTTGTCACTGTCTTTTTCAATCTTTATTGCTGTTTCTTTAAATGTCAAGCTTTTCTCTCTTCCATTCTCTCTCTCTCTCTCTCTCTCTCTCTCTCTCTCTCTCTCTCTCTCTCTCTCTCTCTCTCTCTCTCTCTCTCTCTCTCATCTCTCTCTCTCAATCTAGAAAATTAAATTTATCCACGTATCGATGTATCTATGTATTAAACCTTTTTGTATTTTTCAGCCTTTTCATTTTCTCCCACACCTGCCTCCCTCCCACCCCATCTCCCCCCCTCTCTCTCTCTCTCTCTCTCTCTCTCTCTCTCTCTCTCTCTCTCTCTCTCTCTCTCTCTCTCTCTCTCTCTCTCTCTCTCTCTCTCTCTCTCTCTCTCTCTCTCTCTCTCGTCTATCCCCCTATTCTTCCAGTTCTTGCACTTGCCCACCCGCCCCGAAATCTATGTCGAGTCAGGCGTCTCGTTGCCATGACGCTGAGAGCACGGTGTTCATTAGGGTGTGTGCGTGTCTTCCAGCAACACGGTAACAGTTTTTCCTCTCCGATGTGCATGACAACAGAGTGGATGCGGCCTAATGCTGCGGTAGCTGCACACGCCATCCGGCTGATGCAGCACGTTTTCAAGGTCATCTGGGAGCACAGAGTTTACCTGTCGGTTACCTGTGCAGAACCTGCCAAATCTTGTTTTGTTATTGTTTTTATTTTTTTTCCCTCAACGTTTCGTGTTTGTAGTTTTCAATTGCGAAAATTAATCCAGAACATATCCAAGCTGAGCTAGCAACAAAATGTTTGAATAGTATTTAATCATTGCTTCTGGTGTAATTGCTGATGCTCTAGTTCTTGCTTTTGTTTTGCCCATTTTATTGTTTTTGTTATTGGTGGTTTTGCTGTTGTTGCTGATAATGATGTATTATTATCCGATACAAGCTTGTGCATGCCTGACAGTGAGACTGAAGAAAAAAGCGATTGAGAATGACAGAGAGGGGGGGAGAGAGAGAGAGAGAGAGAGAGAGAGAGAGAGAGAGAGAGAGAGAGAGAGAGAGAGAGAGAGAGAGAGAGAGGGAGGGAGAGACAGACAGACAGACAGACAGACAGACAGACAGACAGACAGACAGACAGACAGACAGACAGACAGACAGACAGACAGACAGACATCCAGACAGTGAAACAGGGAGACAGAGAGAGAAAGACAGAGACAGTGAGAGAAACAGAAAAATCCAGAAAAAATAAAATAAAAAGCTCAGTAAATAAACGCTATTTGTTAAGATTCTAGTTGTAGTGGGGAAACATTCCAACTCCCGTTGATAAGGTAAAGCAATATTTGCATTGGCAAGGATAATAATACTTTTTAATAATACGTAATACAATATGCTAATACAATAATCCTCATCCTCATAATCCTTTCACCATCATCAACATCATAATCACTATCCTCCTCCTCCTCCTCCTCCTCCTCCTCCTCCTCCTCCTCCTCCTCCTCCTCCTCATCATCATCATCATCATCATCATCATCATCATCATCATCATTGTATAAAGAAGGTATTAAAACAGTTAAGATCTTGTTGTATTTTCCCAAAAAATATATATTTCACAGTTCAACGTTTCGCCAATAAGGCTTCATCAGGAACATAGTATTTGAGAAAAATAAATGGGTGATGACGCCACAGCAACAAAGTGTTCACTGTAAGTTACGTATTGGTGTGGTTTGGACATTATCGGAAATATCTCCATCATCATCATCATATACACAGGCTATAAAAACTAAAGTGCGTACATAAATGTCTGAATATTTAAAGGAGCAGTGAGTACAAATCGCCGGAGAGAAGGGAACACTAAAGCCAGAAATGGTAGAGAGAGAGAGAGAGGGGGGGGGGTGTGGAAAGGTGCGTGGAAGTAAGGAATATAATAACAGAAGGGTGCGGTGAACACAAATCGGAAAGGCCAGAGAAAGAGAAACACTAGGGCCAGAGGTGGCAGAGAGAGAGGGAAAGGAAAAGAGGGAGAGAGACAGAGAGAGAGAGAGAGAGAGAGAGAGAGAGAGAGAGAGAGAGAGAGGGGGGGGGGTAACATATGCATGGAGGTAAGGAACATAATAACGGAAGGGTGCGGTGAACACAATCAATGAGTCGAAAAGGCTAGAGGAGGGGAAACACGAAGGCAAAAAGTAGAGAGAGAGAGAGAGAGAGAGAGAGAGAGAGAGAGAGAGAGAGAGAGAGAGAGAGAGAGAGAGAGAGAGAGAGAGAGAGAGAGAACTAGTACGTGGAGGTAAGGAGTATAACAGAAAGGCAGGGCCAAAGGGAGGGTGTTGCAGGAACATAAGAGGTGAATAGTACGTTACGTTGTAAATTTTAGGTCCTTAAAATGGGGCTCGTCGATGTTAAGGCCAGTGAGAATTTTGTGAGACCCCAAGTTCCAAATCCACATTGATTCTCTTTGGTTAAGTTTTTCTTTAGTAGGATATTAGACTATTTCAATTTCCTGAAGCTGCAAA